GAAATAAAAAAAGTAAATTTTCAAAAGTAATATATGAAGAACTGATATATCTTTAAGTGAAATGGTTTTTTCACTCAAAGTAAATTTATAGTATGGTTTATAACAACAATAAACGACACATTTTTAATGTCCATCAATAGCACATAAGTATCTACACAAAATCGCAGTCAAATTTTTTAATTTGTCTATAATTCATAGTCTAACTTAACTGAAGAATTGAATGTACTTATTGATAACACAAGAGAGGACTGTTTGAGTTGACAAGTCATTGCACTGACTGACAACACAAGACACAACTGTTTGACTTGACAACACAGATGGAGTTACAAAAATAGGCCACTATAAATAATTGTTCATATCCATATTAGTTGTATCACCTTACATTTTTACCTTGCAACTATGGACCCACCTGTACCACTCAGATGGAGCATCGAAGAGGAGGTCGCTTTGGTGCATGCTTGGATCGTAACTGTAGATGAGGATTTTCCATCAGGCCCACCAGAAGTTCGTAATGGATCAGTTTGGTCTCGTGTATGTCATTTGTTTTACCATCAAATGGGTTGTACTCAATACTGAAGAAGAAGAGATGTCAAAGCCAAGTTTGTGGATTTGAAACAAAGGGTCAAACATTTTCAACGTATTTACAACAAGTTGGATAATAAACATTTGAATATAGATGAAGACATTCTCATACAGGTGGCTATGGAGCTATATTGTTTCGAATCTGATGGTAGGGAGTTTACGCATGGGGAAGCATGGAATCTTTTAAAGAATGTCTCTCATTTTTTATATGCATGTTAGTTGAAGAAGATTAGATGTAGAATGTTCGTTAGTTACGTTTTTTGTTTTTTACATGTATCTTGTTAATCCTTTAATGTATGTTGTTTCAGTAATGAGCATAAAATATGAATTAAGAAAACACATCCATTTTCAGCTCATTAAAACATTAAACCATAACTACTACATAATAGGACATAAAATGGAAAGGGGAACATGAATAACTACTTCTACTTGGGAGGTAACAGGACCACCCTTTCATTTGGTATTTCCCATTGCACATGTGATGGCAGAGAATTCACCGTCTAAAATCCGAATACAACTCGATACACGACATAAGTCAGCTTATAATCAACCATTTCGTGAATGGTTGCAGACGTATGAGTTCCTAGTGATGCTATAGCATGACAGCAAGGTATACCACCGGCTTTTTGCCATTTCCCACAACTACATACCCTACATTCAAGTTGTACATTGCAGGTGTCGAAATCTTCATCGAATTCAAATATATCCACATAAATACGTCTTGCCTCCCAATTATAAGACTTGTTCGCTAGCTTTTAAACTTATTCTCAGCATAAGGGGTCACACCAACAAAAATCCTACCTCCGAAATTTGTTAATTTAGAAATAATAACACAAGAAATAGAAAACTATAACAATAATTTTACCTCCAACTTCAGGTCATTCAACGTATGCCAATTGTATCGACTGATTGATTTTCACACCCCCAAACCAGAACGGCAGAAACGTCTGGGATGGATGACTTCATTTACAATATCATAATAAATAAATAATAGTGATCAAGCCATACAACCATCATATTGATAATTAAGTAGTATACATTGTATACAAAACATTGTTTACTTGATATTAAATACATATGTCAAAACTAAATAACGTGACGCGGCAACGCCCCATCCTCAGAACAATTAAGCTGGTGAGCTCATAAGAGTTTTGTATGAGAACAATTGGTAACTTTTCCTTGTAAAAATGATAGATTTCACTTTGAGAAAATCTAATATTTTCTTTAAAAATGAGTTGCAAGTCGTAAGTCCAAAGACTAAAAAGGTGAGTAGTGTTGTACTGGAAGATAGTGTTATTAAGTTTTATCATTATATAAAACTAATTGAATGTATGTTAACCCCTTAAACCAAATGTATCATTAACTAGGAGAATGCCCACACGTTGTGCAGAAACACCTATATAGTTAAAGTCTTTGAGTGAATCCTGGGTATGTGTTGTTGGTGGTTTCAGTTCTTCCCCTAGCCATCTCTACCGAGAATATTTTTGTGAATGTTTGGGGTTTTTGTTTGACTATGTATTTATACTTCATGACTCACGAGCCTCCTCTCCGCATCTTATTGTAAAGTATGCATGCTTATGAGTTATTTGAGGATAAAACGTATCGGTAATCACAACGGGTTTCCTTGTGACAACCCTATATTTTTCCAAATCAATGTAACACTCAAAAGTCAAATACAACGAACTATTTGGAATCAACAGAATTAACCTCAAAAATAAAGTGTTCAAAAATCTAAATTTGGGATGCATCAAATGTTAGATATCGTGCCAAGGTTTCCAAAAACATAAAGAACGTTCAAAACTGAGTTATAATGAAAAGATTATGATCACACAAATATTCACGACACACCCGGTAAAACATTTTAAACGTAAAAAGTGAAATTCCAATAAAATGCATTTTAGCCTTAGGTATCTAAACAAAAGTCGTAGATTACGTTAAACCGTGAACATGCATAAAAAGATCGCCCGAATTGGACCTCGTATGAAGAAGTTACGAATTTTCTAAGTTTCGTAACAGCAGTAGAGAGCTAAAAACTCGAATGAAAGATCGAACGATATTTAGCTAACGCAACCTAAACAAGAGTTTAAGGTCTCCACAATAGGAGTAAGATGGTAAAAAGATAGACAAAAACAGACGTCGGCTAAAGAAGTTATGAATTTTTAACGGACTTCAGCAGTCCCGGCCTACTAAAAACATAATATTAAAAATAAAGTCAAAAGTAGCCGACAGAGTCTAAATAAAAGTTGTAGAGTATAGTCTCACCTATGCGTGGATATAAAGAATGCAAAAAACGGAGCTCGTACGCGAAAGTTACGGAATTTATAAGATTGAAACACGAATTACGCCCAGCGTAAATTTAGAGTACGCCCAACGTACTCAGGCTCAGTGTCGAGTACCATCGGCTAGAAGACTCTACGCTTAGCTAGACTCGAGTCGTAAGCCATGACGCATACGAACACCCCGCGTAACCAAAGTACGCCCAACATACTTCGATATTACGCCCAGCGTACTCCCACTTTCAACCCTATAAATAGAGGGCATGAGCTCCGGGTTTTGGCACACTTTTCTCAAACTCTCTCTCACTTTCACTCACTTGTGAACCTTAGAGGCCATCTCGACACCCTCGGTTCCATACCCGAGCCCCGATGAAGGTTCTACGCTACCAAGATCCCCGAGAAGCTCGAAGACGCAGCTTTCCGCAGTTGAAATTCTGCTCGATTCTAGTCTCACTCTCTTCAAACCAAACAAGTGAGCTCATACCCCTACTTTTCTCGTCTTTTCATGTTTTAGGGGGGGGGGGAATACAAGTGCAATACAAGAAATCGTATCGCTTTGTATAGATTTAAATACAACTTCTATATTATTATCACTTGATATCAACATTTTACTTTACACGAAAAGTTAGTATTTTATCGAGTTATTATCACCAAATGGAACACAATTTCGGAAAAACTATAATGGGTATAGTTGTGAGTTATTCATACATTCTTACGTAAACATCTTGACAAACGAAATACTTCATCTGAAGTGAAATAAAGACTTTCTTTTCGTAAATCTATTTATACTAAGTGTTGTGAGATATTCAACTTCAACAAGTACTCTCAAGTATGCATTTCAAGTCCTGTATTATTAACCATAATCTCTTGGAGGGAGAACGTGATACTTATGTATAGATCTATACGGGATTGACAATCCCGCACCTAAACTGTTAGCTACCGTTAGACCGGTAGGTCTAGGGTGACAAATGTCATAACATTACAACACCTGAAGAATGTTGTTACAGGCAGTCTGTGTCAATAGCATGGTTATAAGACTCACACGGAAGTATAAAAATAAGCTTGACTTACGAGACTCATGAATGCATTCAGTATTTACATTGTTTTAAGTATAAATTCACCTTTATCATTTAGGTACGAAATATACTAACGCCCTCCAACTTTTGGGACTTGTTCAAACTATATATGGAAAATATTGAATTTTCTGGAAACTACGTTCATCTATTTTCTTCTAAAAAGACATACTTTTTTCAGTACAAAAACACTTATGAACTCACCAACTTTATTGTTGACACTTTTTCGAAACTACTTGTATTTCTTAGGGAATCAGTAATACAGGTAACCACCAGCTTTTGAAGCAGGAACGCTAAGGCGTCTATTATTAAACATTTTAAATCATCATATTTGTAATATTTTTTTGGAAACATGTATTACGCAAAAATGTATGTTTTTGTTATATATATGATGGTTGTGTTACTTTCTTTACGATATTCAATTGTTATGGTACTACGTGAAGTCACCCACCCCCGAATGTTTCCGCCATTCTGGTTTGGGGGTGTGACATTCCTCGTCGCTTCCTCATGTCCCGTTGTTGAAAATCTATTGATGCCTCTGAAATTTTTTTCCTAGTCTTTGGGCACTTCCTATTGAAATGCCCCGCCTCCACACATCTGTATCAGGCCTGACCCACCCTAGGTTTTGCGGATTGGGTGGTTTGTTGTGTTGGTGCCTTACAGAAACAGGTGTTATGCAATTTTTCAGTGTATATCTCAGTAGAATCCACAGTGATGGAAGTTACACTTGTTGCATTTAGGCAGATTCCCATAATATGGTTTCGTCGGCACTGAGGTTGTAAGGACAGTGGTGGTGTGGGTTGCCACAGTTTGTTGTCTTTTGGCAGGCTCGTGGATGATAAATTCAACATGACCAGTCAAGTTTTCTTGTCACATTCAGTCAACATATTGCTAGTTCAGATGGATCATGCACTGCTAGACTTGTGCAATGGCATTCAAGAGGATACACCTTTAGCACATATCAGTGTAAGTAAAGCAAAATATGAGACGTTATGTCCCTTTGTATATGTTTTCTGAAATCTTGGTTATTTATTTTTTCTTTAGCTGGAGGGTATTGATGGATCTCAGAATGAGGGCATCATCTCAACTGCTTGTGGTTAGGATTCATCCCCCTCAAGTTCTTGTTGTTCCAGATTTCCTTCTTGCAGTTGGTGAGTTTTTTGTCCCAGCTTTGGGAGCCATAAATGGAAAAGAGGAAGTCATGCAATGGATATTACAGGTAAACAAGAATAAAATCCTTGAAACTGCTAGAAATTGGTTGAGTAATCAAGAAAGAGATGATTAAGCCCTATTTCTCTGTCTAGAACTGTGGTAAGTCTTCATATTCTAACAAATCTTTCCTCAAATCCTCTTCTTTTTCCTTCTCTTTTCTAAATTACATCAAGGTGGCACTCAGTGAAAATCCCAAACCCCTCCCCAAATCTGCTTACAAGTCTTCTTCTTTTGTCTGTTCTCCTAAAAGAAAGCTTTAAATATGTTGTCTGTATTTGTACTTGGTTGTAAATCGTATCTTTTTTATATACGAGCTATATAATCAAACCCAGAATGTGAGTTCTAATTTTTTTTGTTTGAATGAGAGAATAGTAACGGAAACATCACATGGGCATGGATAAAATGACTTACTGCTTGAAAATTATCCCAAAGTTTTGGTATATGGTTATAAAAGTAGCATGATTTTGATGGCATAGACAGCTTGGTCAAGTACTATCTCCAAATTTTTGAAAAGAAAATCTATATATTTCTTTCTCTTCTTCCATGTCATAATCTCATAATTGAAAAAAAAAACATATTTGTCTACTTTCCCACAACTATAACTTGTATCTTGACTGTAGAAAGTTTGTACAAACCCAAATCCTACTATTCTTGCAAAAACATTGTGAACCTCTGGTTCCACAAGAACATTCATGATCTCTTGATTTAATCGAGCTAAATACAAGAAATAGCTATGTAGTTTCATATTCATATATTGGTGTATTATATTTAAAAGTTATAAAATAATAATATAATATAATATCCCCTGATGCCAGGCTCACACTGTGCTAGAAATGAACTATACTGACAAGCAACTGACAGCAACTGTTGTGTCTAAAGGGTTAAGACCTGGTCTTGCAGGGACAGAATTAGGTGCACCACCAAGATTACTATCTCTGGTACAAAGATGTTGGGAAGCTGACATGCATAATAGGTCTTCATTTGATGACATCATCTCCAAACTTGATCTCAACATTGTTTTGCCATGTTTCCTGTAACAGGCCTCTAAAAGATTCTCCTGTTCTTATGTCTTTTCTTGGTAATTTGTGTTTGGTTATAAAATTACACAAATTACGATTTTACCCCTACAAGATATGCTTATATTTACTTCCTAATTGGATGTGATACTTTGTGTAGGGTTGGAAGGAACTGGCCTTGTTGTACATGAGAAAGCTCTTGGAAAGTGAGTTGAACTTGATCTTCATCTTCTCTTTGAACATTATTTCTTATAAACTTTTGTTTTATAGAATCTTTAATAGGATTATGTAAATGTTTGCTTAAATTTTATACAATGACAGGGTTTTTCATGTTCAATGCTTGCATATTCCTTCTCATGATCGAACACCATTTGAAGGTTATCATCTTCTCTTGTATTTATATCATGTTAAAACTTCAATGAACCAAATGAGAGAGTAAATGACCATTTTACCCTTATATTTGCATCAAGGGTTGATTAAAATTGTGGAAGAAAGTGTAAAGATTGAACAAAATTTGTCCCCAAATGGCCAATAATGATCTTTCGGGTCTGCTAGATGGCATTTATATCTTTTCACCAATCTTGTTGCATATTCTTAACTTATCCAATTTTGGCAGGTTGATCCTGCTACATGGCCAATAATGATCTTTAGGGTCTGCTAGAAGTATTGGAGATTGCAGTTAAGCTTCTATCTAAGACTTCACGCCAAGGACTTGATGAATTTAAGCTAGCAATGTTTTACTTGATTTGGACATGAACCCTAAGATATCATACTTTGGCATGGACAAAAGCTTTGGAGGAAACGAGACTCAAGAAAAAGCAAACACAAGGAGTTGTTGGCACATAGTAAGCCATATAATGCAATTGTATACAAATTTTTCTTCTCTTGAGTTCATTTTTTTTATAAAATTTACTCACTATTGGAATAATTATTTGTATTTGACATATTAGCGAAATGAATTATCTTTGTTATTTATGGTATTTTATTTTGTATAATGAGATTTTTAATGTGTTATTAATTTGAAAACTAGTAAATCTATCAAAATATATAATTTTTAAAACATTTTACTTTATGACACATAAAAATGTGTGTCGTCTTTTTTTATGACAGGGGCTTTAATGATACGCAATGCGCATCGTAAATGTACGTCATAAGGCTACGACATGCAAATGTGTGTCGTCTTCTTTATGACAGGGCCTTACTTGACACGCATTATGTGTAGTAAGAGCGCATCGTAAATAGACGATGTGTAAAAGCGCGTCGTCTCTCGTTATAACAGGGCCTTCCTTGACATGCATTTGCATGTCGTCTAAGCATTCTACGACGCGCATTACGCGTCGTAAAAGGCTGTTTTCCTAGTAGTGCTGGATACTTCCACGTGGTGGCATGATTCTATTGTATGTTATGAAACAAGTTGTTAAGTGGCTATGGTCGTTGCTAGTTTTATCCCGTCTACATTTATGTTTATATACACATAAATTACATGTTTTAATGTACGATTTCCAAATGTTTTGACCAACATCATCATAATGTACTTATGGTAGTAAGTAGTAGTAAGTATTGTACAAATGTTAAGTTACCAAAATTTAACATAGATGTCAAACACTAGGCTGATTTGGGTTACATTGGTTTTTGGAGGGCATACCTCACTTGATTTAATACTACTAGTTGGAATAAAAGACGTAATAAGCCTAACACTTAGTGTGAGTAGTCGATTCACTAACTCATTAGGCTATACTAGTCTATCATATACTAAAATGACGCACAAGGTTTCCAGCCGTCTCACACATCTTGCAAGTGGCCTCCTCTACTCTTTGTCCCGATAAGACTGCCCTAGTCTCAGCTGCAAAGATTTGTTGTCTCATTGTAACCATCTCCTCCTCCAAGGAGTGTAGGTGGTCTGTACTGTTCTCATGCTCCGCTTTTTGGTTCAGTATGGCACCCGTATGGTGTTCTTGTTCTTCGTGGATGCGTCGAATTTGCATTGTCGTGTTCTGGGCTTTGGCACCGATCTCCATTACCTTGTGGTGGTGTGCCTGAACCTATGTGTCCAAACGGATCACTCATAGTACAAACAGAGGTAGTGCTCGATCTGTGAGGGTGTTAGGGCCTGGAGCATCGTGTAGTGGGTGCAGGCCGAATGTGGATCATCGACCATCTTCTCTAGCCAATGCATGCAGCTAGTTTGCCATTGTGGGGGCGCATATTGGAAGGAGGGAGTTGGAAGGGGCTCATGCCTGCTTCTAATAGTGTAAAGTTCATTAACGATCTCCCCAACGCTTTCCTCCTCGTCTGATCCCTCATTAGAATCCTCCTCCTCGTAATCCATGTCTTGGTATTCTTTAGGATCCTCTTCTAGATCCTCCTCATGAACCTCTTCTGGCTCATCCTCGATCCATCCATTGGCTACCATGGTAGGGTAGTAGGGGTTTTAGTGGTGAAATCCGACCATGCCGTCTGTGCGAGAATTGAGGTATAAGAGAAACATAAAGAATCTAGGTATATGGTTCTATAGTATCATAAAATACTCCTATAGTATGTTAAACTTGATGTTTGATTCTAGAGTTTCTTTGTATGGGGTGTCGATAAGTTTTAGATTATTTTTTCACCACGACCATTCCCAAACACATGTTAGTCATATCTCGCATAAATATGTCTATCCCAGATATGATTACACACTACCTAGGTTTAATCGTAGCGTCTAACTTATCTTAATACTTCTTATATGGTTCCTATTATGACACTGTCCTAGTATGACATGTACGTATACTTTTATAAAAATACTATTATATTTTAAAAGTACACTTCTTAGTCAGAGTATTTTAACACCATTTTATTTATAGTTGTATATCTTACATGGTTTGATATACTTAGTTCACTATAAACAATGCTCTGATACCAATCTATCACTCCTCCAAACCAGAATGGTGGAAACGTCTGGGGGTGGACGACTTCATGTATGGTATCATTACCAATGAATAATATTGATCAAGCCATACAACCATCATATAGATAATTAAGTAGCATACATTGTACACAAAGCATTGTTTACTTGATATTAAATACATATATCAAAAGTAAATAACGTGATGCGGTGACGCCCCATCCTCATAACCTTTTTGGTTACATGTCTACTGATTTCCTGAGAATACAAGTAGCTTTGAAAAAGTGTCAACAATTAATTTGGTGAGTTCATAAGAGTTTTGTACAAGAAGAATTGGTAATTTTTCCTTGTAAAAATGATAGATTTCACTTTGATAAAATCCAATACTTTCTTGAAAAATGTGTTGTAAGTCATAAGTCTAAAGACCAAAAATGTAAGTAGTGTTGTACTGAAAGATAGTGTTATGAAGTTTTATCATTATATAAAATAATTGAATGTATGTTAGCCCCGTAAACAAAATGTATTGTTAATACCCCATGTGAGTTATCATAACCATCCTAGCGACTAGTGGCCTGCTACAATGTTCTTCAGGCGTCAGAATGTTAGATATTTTCACCCTAGACCTACCGGTCTAATGGTAGCTAACAGCTTAGGTGCGGGGTTGTCGGTTACATATAGATCTATACACAAGTGTCACGCTCTCTTACCGAGACTCTGATTATAATTCAGGACTTTAGTGTGTACTCTGTTAGGTACGGTGAAACCAAATGTCTCACAAAATTTGTATCAACCGGTTTACGTTTAGTGTAATTAAAACCTTTTTTTCTTGTTAGTGAAAGTATTACTCTTCCATAGTGGTTACATAGTGTAAAAATAATTATATATTTAAATAATTATATGTTTTGTCCGCAATGATAAAGTAGTAGTGGTGTCTCCCAAACTATACCAATTATAGTTTATTATGATTGTTTGTTAAATCCATTTTTATAATCATTTATATAAATACATTATAGTTATCTTGTCTAGATGTTTTTAAAAGATTATATCATAAAGACTTAGATCTAACACAAGTATGAGAAGTTGGTATGAAAAAAATCCATTTCTAGCTTTTGTCCCCCCCCCCCCTCCCCCCCTTTTTTTTCAAAAAAAGCTAGATTTTTGAGTTTTCTGTTTGTGTGAATGTTCCAAAAACTAGTAATACTCATATTTCATGTAAATAATACTTTATATTCAACATAGAAATAAAACTTGTAAACATTTGTGTTATAAACCAAACTTTACTTGTATTCTCCGCCCCCCCTAAAACATGAAAAACTCAAAAATATAGGGTTATGAACTCAGCATGAGTGTGTTTGTGGTTGGATAGAGGTGATGGTGAAGATCTTCAAGCCTAGAGCACTTGAAGGTGGTTGATGAACTCTTTGAAGATTGTTTTATCCTATGAGTTTTAACACATGAAAATGTGTGTAAATGAGATGAAACTAACATGAAAGTGTGTAGAAACACTAGATTAACAAGAAATACTTACCAAAAATTATAGGGACTAACTTGAAGAAATAAATCCTTAGAAGATTTGGACTTGTTTCTTGAAAGGAAATGAAGAACTTTGAAGATGGTGGGGGGGGGGGTATGGGGAGCTCTTGATATAAAGAGGGAGGGGTGAGGTGATGTCTGCAGTGTTATTTGTTGGATAATAGCCTTGATTCATGCTGGGTAATATTTTGTGTTGGAAAGGATGAAACCTCATGTCACGAAGTCAACTCTTTTCTTCTTTTCTTTCCCACCGAAAACCCCATTAGTCCACCGAAATCACCTGGTGATTTCGGTCCAATGTTGCTGAGATCATAGAGTTTTCGGCCCCCAAACCGAAAGGTCTAAAATCGAAATCATGGATTTTTCGGCCCCAAACCGAAAACTCTAACAGCAAGGTATAAATCCCAAAATTCATGTCCTAATCAGTTGACTATCGTTGATTGGTTTGACTTTTGCTGACTTGTTGACTTTAATTGACCAAAACTGCCAGTTGTCACATTGATTAACTCAATGATTATTGTTATAGGTAACTCATATGTGTAGATGGATATATTTTTCATAATTTTACGAATATCAATTGATTTAACATTATAGCATACTTTAAGAAAAAATGCCCTTGGCTATTTTGAAATGACTATATTGTCAGGCCAGATAATTAGATTCCTACATGAACTTTGAAAGCTTTCCAAACACAAGTAAAATTCATGCACACTATATGCATTGCATGACTTCCAAAACAACTTTTCGACAATAGTACCATTATGTCTGGCAGAATCTTATATTTTCCATGTTATATCTTTAGGACAATGCCCATGATACGAATTTGGGTAGACTCTCCCAATGACAAATTCTATTTTATTACATAGGTGGCTTATGAAACCAACCAGTATATTGTCACCTAAGCATTCTTTTAACTTCCTAATGAATCATGCCTAAGATTCCTCACACTCTAAACTTTCCAAACCAACTGCTTAGAGTGGGGGTTCATGGTTTCCGTCCAAAGCCACTGCAAAGTACATTGTACTCAGAGATAGTCTCCAAGTAGGGGTAAATAACTAACATATATTAATGGTATCATGCACCTAAGGAAGGTATATATCTGCATAAAAATAAAACATACTTATATTAGTCACATGCAAAATCTAAACGAGGTACATTACCTACAACTATTAATTAAATCAATAAAATAAAGATGACATACCACTCAACCTAAAGCCATGAAACATAATTAAAAGCGGTTTGTATCTATTTTCTTAATGGTTGTGAAGGTATTAGGATTTTTTCCTCGAAGATTACAAAAGAGTATTGGTAGGTCACAAAAGCTTCTTTCGTTGTAAGAAGTCATTTTCACATGCAATGAAAGTGTATTAGGAAAATCACACGATTCCGATTATAAATATACAAATTTTGGTATTGAAACTGGATTACTTCATAGTCAAGCACATGATTTCATAGTCAAAATGTAAGCAAACTTTACTGATTAACAAGTCAAGGTATTGTACTTATCTGCACTTCATAGTTCAACTTGAAGGATTCGTAGTCAAACCAAATGATTTCATAGTCAAATCGTAAGCAGACTTTACTGAATGACAAGACAGGGCATTGTACTTGTCTGCACTTCATAGTTCAACTTGAAGGATTCATAGTCAAACCAGATGATTTCATAGTTAAACTGTAACCACACTTTACTGATTGATAAGACAACGCAGTATACTTGTCTACATTTCATAGTTCAACTTGAAGGATTGATAGTCAAAACATATGATTTCATAGTCAACCCTTAAGCAAACTTTATTGATTGACAAGACAAGGTATTGTACTTGTCTGCAATAAAATTTCGTGTACAGATGGGTAATACTCACTCCATGAAATTTATTTGTAAATTTATTCATATTTAATCAAATAAATCAGGTGAATGGCATACTGCAAGTGCGTAGATGAACGTATCATTAGGATATCGGGTACACCTAAAAACCCAGAAAGATTATTTTACGCTTGCCCAAAATTGGTATCATGTTTTTTAGTTCCTTAATATTTAGGCTATCATATTTCTACCGTAACTTATCTTCTTGTCTATATTTAAATTCACAGAGACTAAAATGTGGGTTTATCTGTTGGGTTGATGAAGAGAATGACCAATCTTCTATGGTAATAGCTAAGGTAGCTAAGTCGAATAAACACTTTTAATCTGAAATAAGAAGTTGAAGATAGTATTGGTTTATAGTTGGGTGTTGTTCTTGGCAATTATTGTTTACAAGTTATAAGGTTTAGGTCTTAGTTAACTTTGAAGTTGTAACATCAATAAAGAGGGTGTAATCGTTGTTATTTTTTATCTTTTAAGTTATAATTATATTATGTATGAAGATAATGTCTATCGTGCTATATATAAAATTACTTTTCCTAATGAAACACTTGAATTTATAAATCAAATATTCATTTACATACATATCACATCCAACTACATAGGACCAACACAAGATCCCCAATAAATTTTGGCCATCCTTTAAGGAAACTCTAAAGCTGCATTTTTGGGTCCATAAATAAATGTATTAGTTGTCCTGATACAAGTTGTTCCATAAACATACAAACAAATGCAACACAATCTCCCAACCCGCTGCTTTGTTGAGGAACATTATCTTCGAGGATAAACTCCATATTCAATGGTCATCTTGGGATATTCC